AAAAAAAATTGTTTTTTAATCGTTTTTTATAGAAAATTTATAATTATGCCTACACTACTAAGCCGAGAAAGAAACGAGATAAGAAAGTCATGATTGAGGACCTAGGTCACCAAGGTTTGCGAAGTTATGGTATATGCAAAACTCGGGAAGATTTTGGAGATCGGCGGTTTGCAAGAATTGGATTGGTAGGACAACAACTCACATTGCCGTGTTTTTACATCTTGAAACAAACATATGTTTAGGTGCCAAGTCATAAGTAACTCTAGAAGCTTGTTCAACTCAAAAAAAATTTAAACTCAAGTTATAACTTTATTCAAATTCATGTTCTTTTATAAAATTTGAGTTTTAACTTAAGTTCGAGGCTAAAATATGAGTTTAAATTCCCTCTTCAACTCAAACTCAAGTTAATGAACTGTAATTTTTTCTATTCTTAAAAACACCATAACTTTTTCGTTTTAATTCTGATTGAGACGATTTTTTTCTATGCGTTCACAACGAAGAGACGAATAAAACCCCACTCATATAACCTATTAAAACTTTCCATCACCATTGAGTTTTTATTAAAATACTATCCAAATACAAATTTAAGTTTTGACCTACCCAAACACAAACTCAAATAGATTCTTAATTCAAACCATAACTCAAAATGTGTATATCCGAACACAAATTCAAATTAGAGTCTCAACTCAAACTATACTCAAATACACCTCAACTCAAATTAAGATCTGAACTCAAGTCATCTTAACTCAAAAAATATAAATGAATAAGTCCTAAGTATTTTACACGTGGTGTGATATAAGCACTAAGCACTTTTAAGCACCATGTGCTTTTGTATTAGAGATATACTCAATTCTAGTTGTCATTGTGACGGATGCTGCATTTTGTACCAAATTTTTACCAACTTTACTGACATATGAGATGCAAAATAATTGCTTTATATGTTTTTGTTATTTGGCTTACTATGTTTGTTTGGAATATCCCTCTTTTGGTCCTTCAATGTGCTAAAAATACCTCCATTTGCATAGAATTCGCGGAAATCTTAAGTGGGTTCCCATGACCTTCTCTAGTTTGTACTTTTATTCATTTTCTGTTTTCATAAAAAGAGAACTATGCTTGACTAGAACATGCTTTTCCCCGAGGTTTGCAAGTTGTGATGCGAATAATAGCAACGTTACTTACAAATAATTTTATTTTTACCAAAATATTAAACCATCAGCCAAAAAAAAATCAAAATATTAAACGGTGTTAGAGAAATAATAATCTATAATCTATATCTATAACTTACATAGAAGTGGGAATACTTTTTGTACTTCAACCATGGATTGAATTGCGAAGTTATGGTATATGCAAAACTCATGGGGGGAAGATTTTGGAGATCGGCGGTTTGCAAGAATTGGATTGTTAGGACAACAACTCACCTTGCCGTGTTTTTACATCTTGAAACAAACATATGTTTAGGTGCCATGTCATAAGTAATTTTAGAAGCATTTTAGAAGCTTGTTCATTTGCACCTAAACTCAAAACAAAATTTAAACTTAAATTATAACTTTATTTAAGTTAATGTTATTTTGTAAAATTTGAGTTTTAACTTGAGTTTAGGACTAAAATATGAGTTTAAGTTCACTCTTCAACTCAAGTTCCTAAACTCAAACTCAAATTAATAAAGTGTACTTTTTCTATTCTTAAAAATGCCATAACTTTTTTGTTTTAATTCCGATTGAAATGATTTTTTTCTATGCATTCACAACGAAGAGACGAATAAAACCACACTCATATACCCTATTAAAATTTTTCATCACCATTAAGTTTTTATTAAAATACTATCTAAATACAAATTTAAGTATTGACCCATCCAAACATAAACTCAAATAGATTCTTAATTCAAACCATAACTCAAAATGTGCATATCCAAACACAAACTCAAATTAGAGTTCCAACTCAAACCATACTCAAATACACCTCAACTCAAATCAAGATTTAAATTCAACAAGTCGTCCTAACTCAAAAAATACAAATGAACAAGCCCTAAGTAATGTGCATATCCAAACACAAACTCAAATTAGAGTCCCAACTCGAACCATACTCAAATACACCTCAGCTCAAATTAAGATTTAAATTCAAGTCATCCTAACTTAAAAAATACAACTGAACAAGCCCTAAGTGTTTTACACGTGGTCTGATATAAGCACTAAGCACTTTTAAGCACCATGTGCTTTTTGTATTAGAGATATGCTCAATTCTAGTTGTCATTGTGACAAATGCTGCATTTTGTACCAAATATTTACCAACTTTACTGACTTATGAGATGCAAAATAATTGCTTTATATGTTTTTGTTATTTGGATTATTATGTTTGTTTGGAATATCCCTCTTTTGGTCCTTCAATGTGCTAAAAATACCTCCTTTTGCATAGAATTGGCGGAAATCTTAAGTGGGTTCCCATGACCTTCTCTAGTTTGTACTTTTATTCATTTTCTGTTTTCATAAAAAGAGAACTATGCTTGACTAGAACGTGCTTTTCCCCAAGGTTTGCAAGTTGTGATGCGAATAATAACAACGTTTTTCGGTCACTACAACTTACAAATAATTTTATTTTTACCAAAATATTAAACCATCAGCCAAAAAAAAAAAATTCAAAATATTAAACGACGTTAGAGAAATAATAATCTATAATCTATATCTATAACTTACATAGAAGTGGGAATACTTTTTGTACTTCAACCATGGATTGAACTAATTCAGTGGTTCAAATTTACTCTCTTTTCACTTAATTTATATCTAATGGTTCTTGTTTAGTCCATATATGGGTTAATCATCCTCTCACAACTCACACATCAAGGCGAATATCTCGCTTTTTCAATGGATATATCTCGTTTTTATGGGGTTGGTTTGAGTTTTGAACAGAGTTTCATGGTTTATGAAAACAACTGGGGTCTGGAATAATGTCGCGTTTTATATCCTAAGCTTCAGGTATAAATGCCCTTGGTAAACAGTCACACAAACCACCTGTTAAAAACCGTTCATAATTTAACGGACGTGAGCCGAAAGACCACCAATGCAATATATTTGTAAATTTAAGAGGCTAATTGTTAAGAATTTAGGTATCATTCATTTTACCGATTCAAGTTTAAAATTTAAGTTTTACTACAGTAAAAAATTCTCAGAAATAGTCACATATAACTTTTTTTCTACACTAAAATGTTTTCACATGAAATCACATCTCAACTCGAATTAAAAACTCAAATCAGTGAACTAAATGGACCCTTAAATTTAGAGACTAATTTACTAAATATGAAAAGGTTTCGGTCTCATGCAAAAAAGGCCAAAAGATAAAATATAATATAATTAAATTAAATTAAATTAAATAAAGGAAACAAATTGGTGGAGACCCTGACACAAAAACTTGGAAGTACAACATTTTCTTTCAAAGGATTAGAAAATTGATACACAAAAAACTTTTCTAAACTTCAATCCCTTCAACATCTCTTACCCATATCTTTTTTACCGGCATTTTTAGGGTATGTTTTACAACTCAAGTTAAGAACTTAAATTGTGTATGTGAGAAAAAATATTGTAGTAAAAAAGTAAAATTTAAATTTTTGTGAGAGAAAAACTTTAGTAATAGAACTTGAGTTGTGAAAAGAACAATACTTTTGGTATGCAGTAATCTTAAGGATGTGAATGAGAATCTATAATATTACTATGTTTGGCACAAGAATAAATTATAATTTTTAGATTCTCAAGCTAGTGATTATCATGAGATTCACTTTTCCTCAATTTAAGGTAATTTAAATACCACTCAACATGGTGTTATTGAAATTCTCAAGAATCTCAAAATCATGAGAATCTTACCCATACACTCAATAATAATAATAATAATAGTAATAATAATAATAATAATAATAATAATAATAATAATAATAATAATAATAGTAATAATAATAGTACTAATAATAATGATAGTAATAATAATAGTACTAATAATACTGATAGTACTAATAATAATAATAATAATAATAATAATAATAATATTTCAGCTTTTATGTTCTCATATTGAGAACTTTTGTAAGAATTTTTGAGTATAGAGGATTTTAGTTAACATTTTGAGATCTCTATTATTTGATAATTTTACGGACTACTTGTTGTGTTGTATTTTATACTTTTTTAAATATTAGTGCTAATTGTAATTCATTTAAAATATATATATTTTTTAATTCACAACATTCTCATGTACAACCAAACACAGTAATGTAATATTTTTAAGAATTTGAGAAATATTCATGTATGGAACTAAACACAATAATGTATTATTCTTAAGAATTATATTACCCTTAATCACTTTTCTGGGAATATGATTCTTACTGATTTCTGCGTACCAAACGTCGCCAAAATGCCTATCTTTGAGTCCTTGAGTCCTCCTATTTACCCACAAAGTCCCTCCTCTACAATCCCCCTCACAAGCTACCCCCATTTTTCATTCTCCCGTCCATTCCAGTAGAGAGAGGAGAGAGAGAGATCCAGTGGGGGGATTGGGGCCTTTTTTTTTTTTTTTTTAAAGAAAAAAATTTTGTGAATACTAGTGCCTTTCTGCTATTTGTTAATTCATTTATAATTTCTTTTTTTTTTTTTAAATAGACGCGTAAAAATTTCATTTCACATTTGAAATTTCTATTATGATGCTTATGTGTGCGTTTGATTATGATTCTTTTGTCATATTATGCATGTGAAATGTAAATGACAGCTGTTGGATTTAATAGTCCATTCATACGCGTATACTTTTATTGACTTTGAATCTAATCAAATAAATTTTTTTTTTTTTTTCTGTATGAAAAAGTTGATTCAGCACTCAATCCTCATGTTTATCAAGTCCATTATAAAAGTGAAAAAAGAAAAAAATAGTTTGTCGCGTGCGGCCAAGAAAATGTCAGATATCATAATGAAATCAATTCACTTTTTTTTTTAATAGCCTATGGAATCATCCTTTACTATAAATTAAGGTGCCAGTTTAACATGTCCTTCCCACTCTCATTGTCAAGAAAAACCATTCTCATTTCAAGAAGAAAAAAAATGCAGTACTTTTCCTTCCCTTCATCGTTACCCAAAATCACCATCTTTCTCTTTTCATTTGTATTCGCAGCTTTAGCAAACGACACTCATGAAGCCTTTCTCGAGTGCCTGACCACTCGTATACCATCCAACTCCACCTTCACTCCGCAATCCATCATCTACACTCCAAATAATCCGTCGTATTCAACTATATTGGATTCAACGACTCAAAACCCTCGTTTCCTTTCTTCTTCGACAAGAAATCCATTTGCGATCATCACACCACTTCACGCCTCCCACATACAAGCCGCTCTTTACTGTTCCCAGAAACATGGCGAGCAGATGAGAATCCGAAGCGGTGGCCATGATTACGAAGGCCTTTCTTACCAGTCCAGTGTCCCGTTTTTCATACTTGACTTGAGAAACTTGAGTTCTATTAGTATTGACGCGAAGAGCAAGTCTGCGTGGGTTCAGGCCGGAGCGACGATCGGTGAACTTTACTATGGGATAGCCAAAACGAGCCTGAATCTTAGCTTTCCCGGCGGCCTTGCTCACACTATCGGTGTTGGGGGACAGTTAGGCGGAGGCGGCTATGGCTATTCGACGAGAAAATATGGGCTCGCGTCCGATAACGTCATCGACGCACAGTTAATCGACGCTCGAGGAAGAATTCTCGATCGAAAAACCATGGGGGAAGATTTGTTTTGGGCCATCCGCGGTGGCGGAGCGGGAAGCTTTGGAATCGTTCTTGCCTGGAAAATCCGCCTTGTTGACACACCATCGACAGTGACTATATTTGAAGCCGTGAGGAGTTGGGAAAACAATACGACAAAGAAGTTTATCCGTCGATATCAGCGTCGCGCTTCCAAAGTCGATAAGGATCTAACCATCTTCGTCGGATTCCGAACTACGAGCTCTACAGATGAAGAAGGGAATGAGAAAATTTCAATACTAACTATCGTCACAGCCACATTCCACGGCAGCCAGGATAGGCTCCTTCCATTAGTGCAGAAGGAGTTTCCCGACTTGGGTTTGGTCAGTGAAGAGTGCACCGAAATGTCATGGGTTCGATCCATTATCCATTTCAATTTATTCGGGGATGGAGAACCCTTGGAGGTTCTACTCAATAGAACGCTCAATTTCGAAATGAAGGCTTTCAAATTGAAATCTGACTACGTGAAAAAGCCTATTCCAGACGACGTGTTAGAAAAATTGTTGAGTAAGTTGTATGATGAAGATACAGGAGAGGGTTACATCGAATTTTTTCCTTACGGAGGCAAAATGAGTAAGATTTCAGAATCTGAAATCCCGTTCCCACACCGATCTGGAAACCTCTACAACCTTCGGTACATGGTGTCATGGAAAGATGATGGAAATATCACAAGAACCAACATGCATTTTAGCTGGATAAGAAATGCTTACGATTATATGACTCCCTACGTGTCAAAAGATCCGAGAGGTGCATATCTCAACTTCAGAGACCTCGACATCGGAGTTAATGCCAATGAGAGTGACTACGATTACGTCGCAAAAGCAAGCGTTTGGGGTACTAAGTATTTTAGGAATAATTTTTACAGGTTAGTTGATATAAAGACAATAGTTGATCCAACCAATTTCTTTAAATACGAGCAAAGTATCCCACCTCTTCCTCTACATTCAGCAATTTGATTGGAGATGCTTGTTGCCTTGTATTATCTGTCGTCATTAGTTTTTTTGTATTTTCTCCCTTTGAAATAAGGTCGTTTAGCGACCAATATGTACGATGTTTTCAAATGCAAGTAAAAATCCTTTTCTATGCTTTGATTTCCTGACGATAATTGATTAAAAAAATGCTTCTACATGTGCAAGGTCATAATTGACCACTTCTGCTTATCTTTTTTTTTTAATTGTTTTTATTTTTTTTCAACGGCATCTCTTTTCTTTATTCTAGTTTTAAGTGTTTGTTGCACCGACCATGTGGTCATTAAATTATATTAGGATGATACTATCAAAGTATACTATTCGGTTCTAACAAGCGGTATCCATGATAAAAAAAAAATTAAAAACAAAAAACAAAAACAAACAAAACAAAAAATCTTATTATATATAATCGGGAATGGGTTTTTTAGTAGGGTTTTATCAGCGTATGGGTTTTTTTTTTTTTGGTCCTTCTTCTTTAGTGGGGTTTTATTAGCGTCCTTTTTTTTCAACTTTTTTCATTTTTTTTTTCTCTCTTCTTTCTTTATTTCTTTTTTGGTCTACTCTTCTTACATTCTTGTTTTTTTTGTCCTATCATACATTTTCTTTTTTATTTCTCTATAAATTAACTCTCATAAATTTACTTCTCTTTAATTTCCCGTTTAAATGATTTCTTCTCGTATATATCTTGTTTAGACTTTTTTAAATCATGTTCTCTAGATAAAATATTTCGCAAGTGAGGGTTTTCTTTATTTTCATTCCTTTTTCCACTTTCTCTCTCTCTCTTTTTGTTTCTCTTTTTTTTTTTTTCATTTTTATCCTTTTTACCTTATTATAAAATTTTCTTTTAAATGAGATCTTAATAAGTATGTTTTTTTATTTTTACTTGCATAATCTCACGTGCATATGCACGTACAACTAATATATATATATATATATATATATCTTCAAGATACCCAAACTCCTTTTTTTCCCATAAAATTATTCAACTAGTTTAGTTCAAAATCATTAAAAAATTAAACAGTATATTTTGATACTCTTTCTATAGATCTATAGATATATAGATATTGTACATACAATAAGCTGGAAGCAGTCAATTGACCTGCCATTTTTAATCTTTTCTCTCTCTTAGCGCTTCTGTTTTATCCTTATACTTTTCTTTCTTTGTGGTTACACATGTTGCTGACCGATCTATTCTTGCCTAAGAAAATATGTCATTACATTTTGCAATTGCATAAATATTTTCTTATTAGGGGCATGGCTATGGTATCGTATGGCCTTTTTGTACTCAAATTGTGACTATTAAACAGTAAAAACGGAAGCGAAACGGATCGAGAACTATCCTCCAGTCATCGTCTTTCTTTATACCGATGTGAATATATATGTTTATATATATATATATATACACACACACACACACATGTATATATAAGTGTGATTTGAGTTCTTCTAAACCTTTTTCTTTTTATAGATGGTGTAAAACTGAAGGGAAGAGAGAGATAGGCTTAGGGACCCAAACGTGATGGCTTTTATAAACGCTCTTAAATTCAATCCATTGACTTATGGGATTGTGGGCCGGTTTAAGAAGTTTCCCAAAATAAATTTCTGAATAGGAAACTAAATCTTAATTAATGAAATCGATATGAGCCACATTCCACGAATTGAAAACAAAACAATCCTACATTTTTGGTATTAACAACGTGGAACATGGGCCATCGGATAAGATTATTAAATAGCATATTTTGATACTCTACAAATCTAGAGTATCAAAATATGCTATTTAATCTTTATCCAATTTTCAATTAAATATGATATAGATTAATGGAAAATAGTAGAAAATACGCCAATATAAAAAGTTTAAGAAAGTATATAGGCTAATTTTTAGTTATAAAAATTAATATGCCATAATTTGTCATGTTATGGTTCATAACCAGATAAGTTATGGATAAACTTGTCAAGTTATGGTTCATAGTCAGACAAGCTATGGACAAAACCGTGAATTATGGACAATAACTTGTCAAGTTATGGTTCATAACCATACAAATTATGGACGAAAACAGTAATTTGACCTATTTATTAACTTATGTAAACTATTGACCTATTAATTTTAATTCATCTCAAGTCTTGACTCATTTTCCTCTTTCTCCCTAGATTTATAGATATTATGGGCCCGTTTAGTTTGTTGATTTGAGTTTTTAATTGGAGTTAAGATGTGATTTTATGTGAGAACTTTTTACTGTAGCTAAAAAATTAAATGTGACTGTTTTTTAGAGCTTTTTACTCTAAAAAAACTTAAATTTTAAATTCAAATCGGTGAAATGAACGAAGTCTATATACACAATATGAGTCACGATAAGCTGGCAACAGTCAATTGACCAGTCATTTCTATAACCTTTTCTCTCTTTTAGCGCTTTTGTTTTATGCTTTGAGAACTCCTTTTCTTTCTTTATGGTTACACATGTTGCTGACCGATCTATTCTTGCTTAAGAAAATGTGTCATTACATTTTGCAATTTGCTTAAATATTTTCTTTAGCAATATTTTTATTAGAGGCATGACTATGGTACCGTATTACCTTTCTCAATAAAATAATCTTGACAAATATCATTTAAAAGTATATGAGTTAGAATTTTTATTTTTTATTTTTAATTTATAATTTTTTTAATTAAATAATTATTTTTAATTATACTAGTAAAATAGTAATTTTTTTTTTTTTAATAAAATAATATTAACCACGTATGAAAGATGGGCCATCAGATAAAATCTGGTGGTGTTAAATGAAGAGGCCCACATAGTTAAAAATATAACGTTCTTGAGACAATTTTTTTCCCTTTTAAATTAGGCGTAATAGATATTTCTTAATTCTTCCCCAGAAAAAGTATCAACCTTTTGTTTTGCTTAACTTTTTATGCCTCTTTTGTTCCTTGAACGGCATCTTCCCCGTTTGATCTACCATTTTTTTCCTTGTACATGCTACGTTGTGTACAAGAATGTATTTTTTCCATACTAGTTAGTTAATGCGTTTCGCGCAGGATAAAATTCTATTAAAAAATTAACTTCATATAATTTAGGGCTGTCAATTCGTGTTTATGTATCGTGTTTGGGCCGGCACGATTACGGCACGATACGATTATAGTGAACACGAACACGATACAATTAATAAGTGTGTCAGAAACCCAAACACAAATACGAAACGCTAATAACATGGTTAACACGACACGACACACGAACACGATTACTAAACGTGCCGTGACGGGCCGATACGAAAAAAAAACATGTTTATGACCCAACTAACAAAAATAGTAGAATTTTATATTGTATTCAAAACTATATTAATTGACTACTTAATATCACTTATAGTTAAAATCATGCATAATTACCAACACACATTAAAATATTCAAATATCAAACACACAAACACACACACACACA